TCAAATGAATTTTTAATACTGATGATAAATTAAATATTAAGAACATAATTATATACTAACTATATTACTATAAAAAAGCAAAGTACATATTTAATGAAGGTTCTTCACGTATAACATTTATATATATATGTTATATTCTATGTATTTATATATCATAAGCTGTAACAATGCAAATTAGGCTAATATTTTTTTATAATAAATTGCATTAATTAATAAACTAATATTACTATTTATAGAATAATTAATGATAAATTATGATATATTATATTGTGGCTATTTCAAAAAAGCGTAAATTAGAATAACAATAAGTTTACATCATTATATATGTACAATTACAATTATTATAAAAATCTAAGCCATAATCATTTAAGAACATTCATATTTAAATTAAATTTATATATATATGTATTTAATTAATGTCCTTAGTAGTTATTTATGTTTGTGTTTTCATTGAATTCTTTCATTTTAACATTACTATTTAGAAACAATGCAATAATAATAACTATCAAGTTTATAATGAATTATTTGAAGAATTGGTAAGTCAGATTAATAAATACAAATGTACTAATAGATTTACAATAAACATTTTTTATATTATTCCACAAAATATTGATGTTAAATTTTTTTTATTTATATTGATAAAATAATATATTAAAAATAATTAAATAAGATGATTAATATTGTGCTTCTTTAAATGTATGGATTAAAAAAAAGAAACACCATATAGAATTGATAGATTAATATAAGTATATATGAATCTATGGAAAAATGAAATGAAAGAACTATTCGAAAAATTATATGATGCTGATGATGATTGTGCTGAAGGTTATTGTTATATATGATATAAACATATAACTGAATTATTATTTTTTCTAAAACTTAAAGTTACACATTTGAAACATCAAATATAATTTCAAGTGCATACTTCTAAAAAAATTCTGCTACTTCTTTTACATCACCAAAAAATATGTTTTTTCTGTTCGTTTTACAATGTTAATATGAAATATTTTAATATTTTTTCTTTTATATCATGTAATGTTAAAATTATTATAACTAATTATGTGCTTTTTTTAAAAAATATATAAAAGAAATTAAATATAGAATCATTGAATATATTTATATTTTAATGATATTTTTACAATTAGTCAGGTAGAATAAAATTATTTTTATACCATAAAAGTATATTAAAGTTTTTAATAAAGAAATATTTAAGAATGACTAATTCCTATGAAAATTATGAGCACTCTTCATTAGATTCAACCAACAAGAGAATGAAGATACCTATCTATTTAACAATGATTTTACATTAAATAATAACTGGATATTATAAATTTCATTTTTTAATAATATAATTAAAGTTCTTTTATAAAAAAATTTCATTGTGAAAAAAAAATCAAAGGAAATTTAACAATAACTATATCTTTTAATATATAATATATGAGCTAATATAAGCAAAAGAAATTCTAAATTATATTAATGTTTTTTCGAAGACATACACTATACTAAAAGGAATATATAATCTGTTATACATAAATATTTTAATCGAATTATTTAAAAATAAATTTATTTCATTATTTATATTTCTTAGATATCATTATACTATGGTGATACTATTGTCAATATATATTATAAATTCAATTATATCACATTTTCATGCATATATAAAAACTATATTCATATATTATTCATATACGTTGATAGGATGAAATAATGTAATTTTTTTTTATTTAAATATAACTGCATCATTTAAGCATACCTAATGTACATACAGTTATTCTGTATCATATTATATATTCGAGCAATTTATATATCAGAAATTATTATTAGTCTATATGTTTTTTTGTTTGAAAATTGTCCCAATTAATATAATAATACAGAGTATAAATATATATTTGTTTATCATATGCATGTAGATACATAAACTAACCAATAAAATTATTGCTTATTATTTGTATTATATTTATATTTCAAATATAATCAATTAATGTGAAGAGAATTTCATGATTCACATAGAGGATAGTTAGTAAAAAAGTATTATTGTACTAAATAAATGAAGACCGAAAGAATTATTCTTAGAATTACAATTTGGTAATAATCATAAGATGCATAAATATAAGTGTTGTTACGATGAATTATTCACCTTACCATAACATACTTATATATATATTCAAAAATTATTTCTACAATTTTTCTATTCTGTGTCAGTAAAATATTTTATTGCATTCAGTATATTAATTAGACATATTATTGCATATATTTTTCAAGATTAAAATAAATAAAAGAAAAACTTTTATTTTTTGTTCTTTATTCAAATTTTTAAAAAATATAGTAAATATATAATTATCAATTATATTAGGTAAAAATAATTTAAACATACCACACATACTGATATATTTAATGGAATTAAATGTTATATTTTTATAGAATAAAATATAAAAAAAGACCTTTTCAAATATTACCATATAGGTGATGGATATAAAATCACATACATGAAATATTAGGATTCGGACAAATACGCTTACGCGTGCATTACATATTATATAGCGTGTTAAAATAATTTTTATATCTACATAATAAATAATAGAAATTTGATGAATAATACATTAAACAAATAATCATTTTAATCCTAAATTATACTACAATAAAATCAGATATTATATATACATACTCTCAACACAATACCGTAATTTCTGTCTTCAATTATAAGCTATATATAAATATCGTCTATATATATATTCCTTGTAATTGATATCCTATTGTTTATAGCATATAATATTACATTTTAGAAAAACGTATATAATTATATATTAATTATTACTCGTCTTATAATAAATGAACGCAGAAATATATCAGTTTTAATTCTGCAAATGTTTTCGGACATCATTAATTTACAATTATTGAATATTATATACATTAGAAAAGGTATATATAGAATAAAATATGTTGTATTACAGTGTTAAAGAACTTTTTCTACATTTTTTTTAAAATACAAAAATTCTGATAACGTATAGTATATAAGAAAATACGATGTTATTATTACAATAACGTTAAAATGAATAACTTAATATATATATATATATTATATACATTGTTATATGTAATGTATAATTACGTAAAATAATTAAATTCAATAGATATATATAATTTGCCTTTTTACATGATAACCTATTTCACATTACTTTTATCATAATAATGAATAAATAATATAATTTTGTTTTTACATTATATATATTAGGAAAATTTTGAATGATTACTACTATAAATAAAATAGCAGTTTGAACGCCTTTTCCTCATGAAGTTATATTTTGATATTTCAGTAATTTACTTTAATATCTAAGCACAATTTGCAAAAATATAATATTCATTTGTATATGTTAATTCTGTATTATAATAAAATATTTCTATTTTCCACTAAAACTCTATCATGAAAAATTTATAATAGAATTAAATATTGTAAAATAATATAGAAATGCAAAATATATTGGATTTCTTGTGGTATGGTATATTACTAATATATATGACATGTATGATGAAAATTAATATATATTTATTACAAGTATTATACCTAAATATAAATCGTAAGATAATTTGTCTCATAAAGAATTAATTATAATATTTAAAAATAATTTATAAAATAACCTTTAATTATATAATGTTATATGACTTTTACAATCATAACATAAATAAATTATATTAAATTTTAAAAAAAATAAAAAGAAATTTATATATGTTAGCATAATTTATCGTGTAATATGATAAGAATTTATATGTATATAATTTTGTATTTACAAGTAATGTATAACAGATGATTTAAATCATTGATATTTACATTTTTTTATAAATATAGTAAGAATAATTATTTAACTTGATAGTTATTTTTTCCCAATATTGGATAAATATTTTAAAGAATATTATATATAATATTTGATATGCTTAAATGATATTATTATTTAAATAAATATTCTCTCAATATGTTTCTTTTTGAACAAAATAAAAGAAATAATTTGAAGTGTTAATGTTATTAAAAATAAGTTCTTGAATCACAGAATTCAAAATAAAACTCGTAAAATTATTATTCTATAATGTATATAAATTATGGAATATCATGTTCAGCGCTTACAATGTTATATAATAAAAAAATGTACTATGATAACACGAATGGTGTAATATACATAAGCGTAATGATATATGAGATAATATTTGTTTATATGTAATGTATATATAAAAAATAAACTGTGATATGTCTTGTTAAATATACTTTTTTCTTTAAAAATATTTATGGTTAATCTATATTGTAATATAGAAATAAGTATATACATTATTATTCGAATGTATTAGAATGAATCTTGTGCGTGTATTAAATGTTATATAATTCTTAATCTTTGGCGTGTTATGTAAATTTATTAAAATATTATATGATAATTCATTTTAATAAACATTTATGTATATTAATGTATAATGAACAACTATACTAAAGATTGAGTCATAAATCCTATTTATTCTAGTATTACATATTATATGCTGTTCACAGAGATAAAGGAAATACATCAAAGAACTAAAAAGTAAAAAACCAATTATTTATATATTAAAACTAGCAACGCACATTAATATTAAATGTATATTTTATTTTCCATATTTACTATGTTACTGAAATTATTTAATTTTTATATAAATATGAATCTTTAATAATATATATTATCAATCTCCATCACATTTTTGTTTTCATTTTTAAATATTATTCCCAATGTTGACATTTTCGGAGATAATAATTAAAAAAACACTTTATTTGAAAATTTTTTTTACTTCATTAATTTATATTTTATAAAACTTGATTTCTATATAAATCAGCCATGATTATAAATGAATTTGTTATTTATAAAAAATATAAATGTTTCCTTCTTCATATTCTGGGTTTGAATTTTAAAAATTCAATATTAACTTATTCATAAATTATATTATGTCCTTTATTTCACTTGTGAGATCATATAACTACATCCAATATGAGTAAGAGTATTGTACGTTTGTATTTTAACAATAAAAATTTAAATATTTTAATATTATATTTTTCATAAATATTTTAATATATTGCTCATTGTAATATAATTTTCGTAATATTATTATATTCTTTTTTTAGTATAACTATATATATTTATTTCCTCAGTGTGAGAGTACTAAGAAAAACATTACAAATGAAGAAGAACAAGGGTCTCATAAATATTGTGAAAACCACAGTAGTATATCAGAAGATATAAGATCCGAATTTAATAGTATATGCAAAAATGTTTTGTCATATTTTAATAAGATGGAAGCATTAAAACATACGGATCAACATGTTATGGATGGAACCTGTGTATACTTACATTATTGGTTATATTATGATCACCTTAAGACAAACCATAATCAAAATATGAATGCCAAAAAGCTATGTGATGCATTGATAAAACTAAATAATGAAAAAGTAGACCCAATATGCCAGAATTATAAGGATTTTGATATAACAGAAGATATGTTAAAAAAAATGAAAGATCTATATGACATTAATACTAATGTTAATGCTTTAAAGACCAGTTGTACCAAAAATGAAACATGTGAGATTGCTAATACAATTGTTTCAAAATATAAGAGATACATGTATGAATGCGAATCTCACGGTGATGTGAATTTTTGTAAAATATTAGAAGACTATAAGAATGAATATAATTCAAAAATAATGCACCTTAATGATGGTACTGCTACGTATGAAATATTATATTCATTCCAAAGAAATAATATTCCTCATACTATTATATCAGTAATGGGTGGAACACTATTTTGGCTCCTATTTTTATTTATTCTATATAAGGTTAATGTTTATATATTATAAATATAGAAATAATACAAGAAAATTTTCTAAATTTTCAAAAAAAAAATAAGCATACCCTAATATTTTATAGTTACAATAGTTCTATTTGTTTTAATTTTCATTAGTTTAGGGGAGATGTTTCATACTTGCGTACTGTAATAAGGAGAATGAGAAATGCACGTAATAATATGGATGAAGAATGGAAAATTTTAACATGTTCTGACCTATCCCACAGAATTACAAGAAATAGAACACATAATATATCATATCATTCTGAGTAAATTTTCGTCATTTATGTGTTCTAAGGAGACTATTTTTTTTATATATGATACAAAATAAATATAAGCAACATTGAACAGAGTATTCTTATAACAAATTTCATAATAATTAAATAGTTATTGTAATACAGTATGAACGAAACAATGCTAATTCATCATTTTAGTTGGATAATAGTTCAGTAAAAAATAATACGGTTCATAGTTTAGGTTTAGCAAAATTAGATTTTTTGTTTATAAATTATTCATATATTTACTAGTATGATTAGTGAAATGAGATCACGGTTAATTCTGCAAAGTGATTAATTTTAGTTTTAAAAAATATTTAGCATTATTATATAACTACTGAGTGCAATGCGTGAACATTTTATGCATAGTAAAATTTTTATGCGTTATAATACTGTAACAGAATGATTGATAATTGTTAGAAAAAAAATAAATCTTATAGGATGTACTATATCAAATTTATTACATGTGACAATTTATAATTAAATCTAATGAATAGAAAGAACAAATAGTAATATATTTAAGGTAAAATATATACTTGTCATAATATGTTGTCCCTATCTTTTATTTATTTTTTTTCTTATTAGTTAATCCTTGAACACATAAATTTATTCCTAATGTAGATATTCTATGTATAACTATGAATTATACTTAATAACTATACAATAAAGATATATTT